TGGGCATTCCACTGTGGTGCTGTATAATGGCACTAACATGCCAGTGTGTTATGTTTATGACACGTGGGGTTTTCTCCTAGGTACAGTCTGTCCACCTCTAAGGCTGAGAAGTTTCCTTTTCCTGTAGCTGAAGTTTCTGAACGCTAGGGGGAAAAGTAATACATTTTGGAAGAATGCTAGAGAGACAAAGTTGCACATTCATGATGCTGGAGAGGGAGAACCTGACTTCATGCAGTCGGGACCATGCAAGAGCAACAGTCACCTTTCTGCTGGAGGTCTTACAGAACTTTGTGGGGAAAAAAACCCACTTGCACCAGCAACTCAGCGTTCCTGATCCACTGCTTTTTATAGCTCTCTTTGAACGGCTCAAGAATAAATGTTTAGGAAAACATTAAACAGTTCAATATGCAAGTCACCCTGATGGGACAAAATGAATTCGAACTCCAAAATAAAACATGAGATGCAGGTAACAGAGCTGTGAAATTTAGTGTTAAGGAGACATACTTTTGGGGGGTTGGGTTTTTTTCTGTGTTTTGGGTTGGGGTTTTTTGTTTGGTTTTTTTTTGGTTTTGGGGTTTTTTTTTTTTGGGTGGGTTTTTTTTTTTTTTTTTTTTGGTTGGTTTTGTGGGGTTTTGTTTTCGGTGGTTTTTTCCCAGTTAAAATCTGATGGTAACTATTCTCCCCATTTGTTTAAATCGGCACCTTCACTAGTGAAAAATTCTCCAAGTATACCACTTCTGTGCTTACACTGGCTGCCTGGGCATTTACTAGATAAAATGTTTATGAGGCTACAATCTTGCAGTCTTTTCTGACAGAATTCCATCGTTGCCTCTTGTGGCAGAGTCTGCGCCTCTGTGTTCATCCCAAAAGAAGCCCCAAAAGAATACTTGAAAAATTACTCTTGTCATGACCAGTACAGAGTTTTTCTATAAAGTGATCTGCCAGACACTGAGCAGTTCAGCCGACTTTGGTCTTTATTGCCACTTTTAATATATATGAGATTGTAGAATCATAGAATAGTTTGGATTGGAAGAAACTTTCAAAGGTTACCTAGTCCAGCCCACCCCTGCAATGAGCAGGGTCATCTTCAACTAGATCAGGTTGCCCAGAACCACATCCAGCCTGGTCTTGAATGTCTCCAGGGATGGCACATCCACCACCTCTCTGGGCAGCCTGTGCCAGTGTTTTACCACTCTCATTGTAAAGAATGTTTTCTTCACACCCAGCCTGAATCTCCCCTCTTTTAGTTTAAAACCATCACCCGTCATCCTATTGCAACAGGCCCTGCTAAAAAGTCTTTTCCCATCTTATAGGCCCCTTTTGAGCACTGGAAGGCCACAATAAGGCTCCCTGGAGCCTTCTCCAGGCTAAACAACCCCAACTTTCTCGGACTATAGGAGAGGTGCTCCGGTCCCCTGATCATTTCTGTGGCCCTCCTCTGGAACCTGTCCAACAGGTCCGTATCTTTCCTGTGCTGAGATATGCTGCTTCAACATGGTGAGCAAAAGCAGAAGTGCTCAGCACACTTCCATAAGCATTTGGGTTAGAGCAGCATTTGAATGGAAATTTTGGTACACAGCACTGGTGATTTTCTTTAGGAGACAGCAAGGTAAGATTAATAGCTGAATTTAAGCAAGATCTTCGTCCTCGCCTTTACGGTTCCTTTCAGCGGACCGTTTCTTAGGCCGTGCGTGCTGTCGCTGACAGCAGTGACCCCCGAGCTCCTCACACGGACCCCACGGACCATGCCTGCCTGCGGTCAGATAAGGTCCGAACGCTGCATTCCCCTCCTGGGATGCTCAGGTGCGAGCGGGTATCCGCTGCCGCCGGGTGGCAGCAAATCTCCAGTCTACGAATTTCAAAACTCTTTCCGTACTCTTAAATATCCTGCAGCATTTCCTGATGGCCGGAGTATTTTTGTTTATACTGGTGCAAACTCTTTCAGCTCTGTAGTTCGTCGTTCTTGTACCCTGTTCTCTGTTTTTCACCTGCTCCTGAAGGATCTCAGATGGCTGCAGAAATGCAAACTGCCAAAACACTTCAGAGCTCCTGATGCAAAGAGAAGCAGAGGAGCAGAGCATAGCCTTCTGACCAGGTACTGAAGAACTGCTCTTTTCACCAGTCCTCCCCTTGTTAGTTGTGTGCTAATGTACTTCATTAATGTTGTGCCCTGCTCCAAATTATTGCAGATTTTTTTCCATCATTTGTTTTTAGCTTTAACCTCTAGTGTAACAGAAGTTCCAGCAAGACAAAGAATCTCATGAAACAGTATAGTCTCTATTGACAGAAATATTCTCACCCCCTACACCTTACTTACTGGGGTTTTTACTGGTTGTGTATCTGGGGGGGGGTTCCTGCTTGCATGATGATTTTATTGCGTGTGATTTTAGTGAAAAATTCCTTCTGTAGCTTTCTGAAGTTAAGTTCAGACAGCAGGAGTAAGTTCCCCTTACTAGCTAATGAAACAAGACAGCCCCAAAACACTTGAAATAACCTAAGTATCATAATTCTGTTCATACAGAGGATTTGCAGTCAAGCACTCCCTTTTTCAACTGTGTGGTTTAGTCTTTAATTTGTTCACAGTGAGTCATTCACATTGAC